GCCCCCTGGCTGCCCCATGCAGAATTGTCCTGAATTTCTGAGGCCACGTCGTGGATGCCAATGGTATGTATGTATTCACTTGAGATGGAGTCTTGCTCTGTCGCCCAGGCTGGAGTGCAGTGGCGCGATCATGGTTCACTGCAACCTCCAACACCCGGGTTCAAGCCGTTCTCCAGCCTCAACCTCCCACGTAGCTGGAGTACAGGCATGCCCCACCACGCCCTGCTAATTTTTGTATTTTTAGTAGAGATGGGGTTTCACCATGTTGGCCAGGCTGGTCTCAAACTCCTGACCTCAGGTGATCCGCCCACCTCAGCCCTGGGATTACAGGTGTGAGTCACCACATCCAGCCTTTTTATTATTTATTATTTTATTTGAGACAGCGTCTCGCTCTTTTGCCCAGGCTGATGTCAGTGGTGCGATCTTGGCTCACTGCAACCTCCACCTCCTGGGTTCAAGTCATTCTTCTGCCCCATCCTCCTGAATAACTGGGATTACAGACACCTGCCACCACGCCCAGCTAATTTTTTTATTTTTAGTAGGCAGGGTTTCACCACGTTGGCTAGGCTGCTCTCGATACCATAGTAAGACAGAAGGGAGGGAGGGAGGGAGGGAGGAAGGGAGGAAGGGGGGGTAGGAGGGAGGGAACGGAGGGAGGCATGTACCCCTGAATCTAAAATTTAAAAATAGGCTGGTGCAGCTTCTCCTCCTCTGTACTGTGAACATTTGAGGCTGAACCGTTCTCTGGGGAGGGGCCATCTTGGGCACTGCAGAGTGCTGAGCAGCGTCCCTGGCCTCCACCCACTCCATGCCAGGAGCACCCCCCTCAACCCGCCCCAGTCGTGACAACCACAGATGTCCCCAGACGTCATCACCCTGTGTCCCAGGGAGGACAACTGCCCCCACTGAGAAGCACTGATCCAGCAAAAGAGAAAAACACTGCCCCCAGCACTTTGGGAGGTGGAGGCGGGCAGATCACCTGAGGTCAGGAGTTTGAGACCAGCCTGACCAATACGGTGAAACCCTGTCAATACTAAAAATACACGCTTTTCACCAAGCTGCATGGAGAAGCCGCTGGTTCTGGGAGGAGATGACAGCACCTCCCCAACCCCCCCTTCTCCACCCCATGGTGATTCCAAAACTTTCTGGAGGTCTCTAGAATGCTTGGGCTGGGTTCTGGGTAAAGTGGGAGGAGGCTGTGCAGGCTTTCGGTGATGGAGGCCAGATGGGAGGAAGCGAGCCGAGGTCGTCTACGAAGACTGAAGGTCTTGCCGGCTACAGATGGGATACTCAGCTCCTGTGACAGCATCCACAGGTGTGTCCCAGAGTGGGCTCCTCTAAACGGGCATCGCCATCACCTGGGCTGCTTGTCTCCAGTGTAGATCCGGCCGGGCGCAGTGCCTCATGCCTGGAATGCCAGCACTTTGTGAGGCTGAGGCGGGTGGATCACCTGAGGTCAGGAGTTTGAGACCAGCCTGGCCCACATGGTGAAACCCCGTCTCTACCCAAAATACAAAAATTAGCCAGGTGTGGTGGCGCGCGCCTGTAGTCCCAGCTACTCTGGAGGCTGAGGCTGGAGAATTGCTCAAACCTGGGAGGCGGAGGTTGCGGTGAGCCGAGATCACACCAGTGCACTCCAGCCTGGGCAACAAGAGCAAAACTCCATCTCAAAAATAAAAAATAAAATGCAGATATCCCAGCACTTTGGGAGGCCGAGGCAGGTGGATCATGAGGTCAGTTCAAGACCAGCCTGGCCAAGATGCTGAAACCCCATCTTGACTAAAAATTAAAAATTTAGCCAGGTGTGATGGCGGGTGCCTGTAATCCCAGCTACTCGGGAGGCTGAGGCAGGAGAATTGCCTGAACCCGGGAGGCGGAGGTTGCGGCGAGCCGAGATTGCGCCACTGCACTCCAGCCTGGGTGACAGGGCGAGACTCCGTCTCAAAAAAATAAATAAATAAAATACAATGCAGATCCGACAGGAGTGGAGGGTGCAGGCTAAATATGAGGCAGGTCACAGAAGGACCATTGGGTCTTAAGGTTCGGTGGGCATCGGAGTCACCCAGAGGCCCTGATGACCACACTGCTGGGGCCCACCCAGGTGTGTCTGATTTTTTTTTCTTTTCGAGATGGAGTGTCACTTATCGTATCACCCAGGCTGGAGTGCACTGTTGCCATCTTGATTCACGGCGACCTCAGCCTCCCGGCCTCAGCCTCCTAAGTAGCTGGGATTATAGGCGTGTGCCATCACACCCAGCTAATTTTTGTATTTCTAGTAGAGATGGGGCATCATCATGTTGGCCAGGCTAGTCTTGAACTCCCGACTTCAAGTGATCCACCCACCTGGGCCTCCCAAAGTGTTGGGATTGCAGGCGTGAGCGTGGCTATAACATTTTTGAGACGGGGTCCTGCTCCTTCGGCCAGGCTGGAGCGCGGTGGTGCAATCACGCCTCACTACAGCCTCCACCTCCCAGGCTCCAGTGATCCTTCTGCCTCCGCCTCCTGAGTAGCTGGGACTACAGGCACCCGCTACCACACCTGCCAATTTTTTTTGTATTTTCAGTAGAGAACGGGTTTCATCATGTTGGTCAGGCCAGTCTCGAACTGCTGACCTCAAGTGGTCTGCCCGCCTCAGCCTCCCAAAGAGCTGGGATTACAGGCCTGAGCCACTGCACCCAGCCCAGGGAGCACTTTCTCCGTCCACAAAAACCCTGTGCAGCGGCCTCGGGTTGGGGCCGAGACAGGCTAGCTTTCTGGGCTCCTTCCTGCCTGGGAGAACCGCTGTAAAAGGGAGGTGACTTTGGTTACAGAATACAGAATTTCTGGAGTTGTGACATGCTGCAAAAGCAACCAGCAACAGGGTCACTCTCTGCTGAGGGCCGACGCATCTCACCTGAGCCAGGAGGGACCCTCTGCACCGTGATGCAGCTGGGGGCGAGGCCGAGGGGAGAGTAGAGGATGGCAGTCTGGAACCTCCTGGGACCGGTGACCCAGGAAGTGCGGCTCCAGGCATCGAGGGGATTCACTCACAACCAGCCCAGCTGATTTGCAAAGTCCGCTTCAGGGGTTTTCTCGAAGTCTGGGGTTGTGGGGGATAGGTGGCACCAAGGTCAACATGGAGACGGACAGAGGTCACAACGCCTATTTATTCCCTACACATCACGCCCTGCACCCAGATGGGCTCGGCACACACCTCACCGCCATGAGGGGCTGCAGGGCCCTGGGGGCCCCGTTCCTACTGTTACCTACGACACATGGTATTGCGCCTACCTCGCAGACGGCCAAGACCCAGGGATTCCCAGGATGCTCCGACTGCCAGCCCTGCTGCTGGGACCACAGCGCCGTGGGCTCACCTGCCACCCCCAGGCCCCAGGAGCTGAGGCAGGCCCCCCAATGTCTAGCTCTCGGCTGCTCTCCTGGTGGCTGTTTTAGGGCCAAGGTGAGTGGCACCAGAGGTGCTCCATGGCCTCAACCTGGAACTGGAGGGGTGAGCTTTCCGGCGGGCCCTGGGCCTATGAAACACCCAGGACGGAAGGACAGCAGGATGGGACACAGACAGAAATGGCCCAGCTGCCTTCCCCGTGCCCGCGGCTAAGGCAGCCGGACCAGTCATGATGACACTCGTGGCTCTCAGTCTCGAGGACCGGAAAATGAGGGTGGGTGGCGGGGAACGCATGTCTCCCGACACGCAGGACTGGAGAAAGTCACAGAAACTGGTCCTATGCACCCAGGACGGCTCCTGGCCGCGGAGGCGTGGGGTGACTGCAGCTGCCCCCTGGATGTCTGCCAGGGAAGAGGTCCTCATGCAGACACGCGGCGCAGCGTCCGGGCCGCAGCTGGCAGTGAGCTCTTCCGAGCAGGCACGGGGCCCGGGAGGCCGGGAGCAGCTTCTCAGCACGGGAGGGGGCGGGGGCTGTAAAAAGGCTCCGGAAGCCACAGGATCCGCCACGCGGCTGAACGTGGAAGCTGCCGCTTCACTGAGGGGCCGGGAGCACCCCAGGATTCTAGAAAATACTCAAGTGATGGGCTGTCTGGGGCCTGGGAGGGAGGTCGCTGCTGGGCTGTGCTCAGCTTGCTGGCTCTTGTTTCAAGAAAGGTCTGGGGGCTACAAGGGAGTTACAAAAAGGGAGTGGAGGAGGCAGAGATCAAAGGGAAAATCCATCTTGACATGCAGGTCCGAGGTCTCTCTCTTCCCCTCTCTCAGGCAGTCCAACAGGAGACAGCAAACACCCGGAAGCTTCCAGTCAGCCAGGGAAGGACGCGGTCACACGAGGAATGGCTGGAGGGGGACAGATGTGACGGCGGTCAGAGCACAGGTGGAGACCCCGGCCGCACCACACACTCTAGGCAGGAGGAGAGGCCCTCAGCCAGGGACCACGCCAGCTCTCTCAACGGACGTCAGAGCCACAGCCACGCCGGCAGCATTCCGGACACTCAGGGCCACGTGTGCCCGGTGGCGCAGAGAACGCCGCCGTGATCTAGAAGGGTCTGCAGTGTGGCGGGACTTTGGGTATGAGGTTATGTTGGTGAAAAATCCACCTCGACTATTAAAAAAATAAATAAATGAAAACTTATTTTAAACAAGAAAAGACTGGAAGAAAAGGTGGCCGCAATATGAACGTCAGTTGCCCTGGGTGAAAAGACTGAGGTTGGGCTGAACACGGGGCTCACACTTGTCATCCCGGCACTTTGGGAGGCTGGGGTGGGAGGATGGCTTGAGCCCAGGAGTTGAGACCACCAGCCTGGGCAGTGTAGTGAGATCCCGCCTGTACAGTAAAGACAAAACTCAGCCGGGTGCAGTGCTGTGTCCCTGTAGTTCCAGCTACAGGGAGGCTGAGGTGGGAGGACCACTTGAGCCCAGGAGGTTGAGGCTGCAGTGAGACGTGATCGTACCACTGCCCTCCAGTCGCGGTGACAGAGCAGGATAGTCTCAAAGTAACAAAAAAGATTAAGGTTGTTCTTGCTGCTTTTTCACGTTTGTCCTTTAAATTTATCTACAGTAATTCTGGTTAAAAAATGAGAATGTGTACACAAGGGACGCCCCCAGCAACGGTGACGGGATGAAGAGGCCACGTTGGAGCAGAATGGACACACCTCGGGAGGCCTGGAGCTACTCGGCCCAGGAGTCGGCATCTGCTGCGGACGGACAGGACGGACACGGAACCCCGGGATGGAAACCAAGCCAGCCACGGGCCCCTGGAACCCACGGGGGACTCCAAGTGCATTTTTTTTTTTTTTTGAGACGAAGTTTTGCTCTTGTTACCCAGGCTGGAGTGCAATGGCGCGATCTCGGCTCACCGCAACCTCAGCCTCCTGGGTTCAGGCAATTCTCCTGCCTCAGCCTCCCGAGTAGCTGGGATTACAGGCACGCGCCACCGTGCCCAGCTAATTTTTTGTATTTTTAGCAGAGACGGGGTTTCACCATGTTGACCAGGATGGTCTCGATCTCTTGACCTCGTGATCCACCCGCCTCGGCCTCCCAAAGTGCTGGGATTACAGGCGTGAGCCACTGTGCCTGGCCATTTTTAAACAACGCTAAGCGCAATGGCTGCTCACAGTGAGAAAGGGACAAAAATATCCCTCACAAGGGCCGGGCGCGGTGGCTCAAAAAACGTAGGCAGAACGCTCAGACGTGCAGTCAAAGGCAGGTGCCCGGATTGTCCTTTCCACCACCCAAAAACCTGGTTCCATCCCCCAGGTGGCAGCTCTGACGCTGCAGAAACAAAAAGCTTCCGCGGGGGGGACGCCAGACACCAGCCCTTCCAGTGGGGGGCCCAGACCCCTAGACACCAGCCCTCCCAGGAAGCCGTGGCTTCCCCCTCATCTCCACCCAGCCCCGATCCACAGATGGGAAACAGGACGGGGGAGAAGGAGGTGGCGGCCACCTGGAAAGGAGTCCAATGCCCAGAGATGCCCCCACCTGCCTCAGCGGTTCAGGGCAAGCTTCTGAGCCGGACGTGCTCAGGACTCACTGTCGAGTGCCCAGGGGGGCTCTACAGTCCCCGGGCAGCACTCCTGCTGGCTGCCCTCCCCTCGGGGCACTCCCTCGGTGTCACTCCTGCTGGCCGCTCCCCATCCTGGGCCCTGCACTCACCGGCGTCACTCCTGCTGTTCGTCGTTGCTGGCGCTGGGCGTCCGACTCCGGATCTGGCTCCTGAGCTGCTCTATCAGCTCCGGGTTCTGCTGCTGCATCTGCTGGGCAAACTGCTGACCGCTGTGAGGAAGGGCGCACGGGGCTCAGCCAGGGCCAGGAGCCTGCCACTGCCTCCGTCCGTCGCCACCTGACCCCTTGACCCCTCCACCCCACAGACAGGTCTGACTGCTCGCCAGAGGATGCCAGGCCCTCCGGAGCAGGGGGACGCCACCCACGCCCTCCTTGAAGCAGGTCCACTCACGCCTGGATGAGACTGGCCAGGTCGTTCTGCGAGGGGCTGGTGCCAGGAGTTCCCAGGGGGTTGTGGCCTCCCGAAATCATGCCAGACATGCTGCAGAAGAAAGCACGTGACCCGCAGCCAGGACAGCCCGACGGCCATCCCCACTGCAGCCCCTCAGCCAGGACAGCCCGACGGCCATCCCCACTGCAGCCCCTCAGCAGCGGCCTGGGAGAGATTCCCTAGGGTCTTCACCTTCTCGCACAGGAGAGGACTCTCTCTCACCACCCAGCAGGCCTCCCTCCCAAACCCACCCTGTGAGTCCCCCCCGCTTTCCCACAACGCCCTTCCTTCTTCCACATAAAGATGATGGTTCTCAGCCAGGGGGTGATCCTGCCCCACAGGACCCCTGCAATGTCAGCAGACATTTCCAACAGCCATGCCTGGGTTCCACCAAGACTGGGGCAGGAGGTGCTCCTGGCGTGCAGCGCGTGGAGGCCAGAGACACTGCTCAGCACCCTGCAGTGCCCAGGACAGCCCTGCCCCAGAGGCAGGTCCAGCTCAAATGGCCACGGTGCTGTGGCTGGGAAACTGTGCTTCCAGATTTGACCGTGGGCTGGGCACAGTGGCTCACACCTGCGATCCCTGCACTTTGGGAGGCCGAGGCGGGTGGATCACCTGAGGTAGGAAGTTCAAGACCAGCCTGACCAATATAGAGAAACCCCGTCTCTACTGAAAATGCAAAATTAACTGGGTGTGGTGGCACATGCTTATAATCCCAGCTACTCGGGAGGCTGAGGCAGGAGAATCGCTTGAACCCGGGAGGCAGAGGTTACAGTGAGCTGAGATCGTGCTATTGCACTGCTTGGGCAACAGAGCAAAATTCTGTCTCAAAAAATATATATATTTGACCATAGGCTGGGTGAGGTGGCTCATACCTGTAATCCCGGCACTTTGGGAGGTGAGGTAGGAGGATCACCTGAGGTCAGGAGTTCAAGACCATCCTGGCCAACATGGTGAAACCCTGTCTCTACTAAAAATGAGAAAATTAGCCAGGCGTGGTGGCGGGTGCGTGTAATTCCAGATACTTCAGGAAGCTGAGACAGGAGAATCAGTTGCTCCCAGGAGGTGGAGACTGCGCTCCAGCCGGGGTGACAGAGTGAGACTCCGTCTCAAATAAAAAAAAAGATTTGACCGTGAAAACGGGCGAGCAGTTCCCCAATAAGCACAGTTTATTGGGGGGCTACCTGATGAGCCTTATACGCAAGAGAAACGAAAACAGGGATTGCCACGGAGGCCGGCACAGCCACGCTCAGAGCAGCAGTGCCGACAGCCCTGATGCCCACGGACAGAGGCGTGGCCCAGCCACACTGGAATGTCATTACTCAGCCATGAAAAGGAAGGAGGCCCCGACCCAGGCCCCAGCACAGATGCACCCTGAGGACACAGGCTCACGGGAGACGCCAGACACCAAAGAGCACGCAGTGTGTGATCCCACTTCTGTGAAATGTCCAGGACAGGCCCGGCCACAGAGACAGGAAGTGGACGCGTGGCTGTCGGGGTGGGCGGGGGTTGGGAGTGACGGCTGATGGGAGGGGGCTGCTTTCGGAGGCGATGCATGCGTGCTGGTGCTCAGTGGTGGTGACAGTTGCCTGACAGTGTAAATGTCCTTAAGGCCATCAAGTACACTTTAAATTTCCCCTCAATAAAAAGACATTTAACCACGAGAGGTTGTCACTTACAGCTGCTGAATCTGGGGATTGTTCATTAGACTTGAAGCCTGCAGGAAAGAACCAATTTGTCAGGACAGAGAGCTCCAGGCACATCCTTCTCTTTCACCGGACACGCTGCATCTGAACCGGGCTTCCTTCCGGACTCCAGCACCCCGACGCACAGGAAAAGCCGGCCGCTGGGTCTTTCTTACCCTTTTCCCCACACTTCCGTCTGCTGACCCGCGAGCTGTGACCTTCATGTTCTATCACTGACACCCTGTTTTGGCTCTATGCTTTAGGGGTGGTGTGGTGGCGCCACGGCGTCTGTCACTGGCTGCTGCCGTTTCGCTGTGTGGGTGCGTTTCGGTTCCTTACCGTAGCTGCTGTCTACTTCGGTGTATTGGATTGGCTTCTAGCTCTGCTGTATCAGTAAACAGCAGCGTGGCCGGGCGCGGTGGCTCACGCCTGCAATCCCAGCACTTTGGGAAGCTGAGGCAGGCAGATCGCTTGAGGTCAGGAGCTTGAGACCAGCCTAACCAACATGGTGAAACCTGGTCTCTATTAAAAATACAAAATAAGGCAGGCATGGTGGCGCGTGCCTGTAATCCCAGCTACTCAGGAGGCTAAGGCAGGAGAATCGCTTGAACCCAGGAGGTGGAGGTTGCCGTGAGCTGACCTTGGGCCACTGCACTCCGGCCTGGGTGACAGAGCGAGACTCTGTCTCAAAAGTGAGAAATAGAAATATGAATAAATAAACAAACAGGACTGTACTGGGCACCTTACTAACTCTCCACCGGGGACTATTCCTTCGGACCTGCTGAAAGCGGGTGGCTCAGAGCCGTGGCAAACTCTCTGTGTAAAGGGAGTGTGGAAATACTCCCTGCCTTTCCAGACACCGGGTCCCTGACCCAACTACTCAGCTCTGCTGTGGCATCACGAAAGCCACCACGGACACTACATGTATGAATGGACATGGCTGTGTGCCAATAAAACTTTATTAACAAAACCCAGTGGCGGGCCTTATTCTGCCAACCCTAGATGTCTGAGGGCAAAAGGAGTTTGTGCCATGGTGAGGCTGAGAGGCCCCTTGAAGGGCTGGGGCTGCTCACCCTCCATCCCATGGTGAGTACACGCGTCCTGGGCCAGCTGGGTCCTTATTCTGACTGCCAGTGAGTCTGAGGGCTTTTCTCTCCCTAACAGCCTTAGGCGAGTCCCTGCCCCTTAAGGCATGGGAGCCTGCAGTGTAGCCCCAGGGCACACAAACCTCCAGGGCACACATGCTTGCGCAGGGGTGGCTCTCCAAGGGTCCCAGCCAAGGAACCCTCTGCCACAGGCCACCCCTTTGAGTGCCTGGCGCTCTGGTTCCCTCCCTGAACCCTGGAAGGCAGGCGCGGCTGTGCTGTGATCGGCGTCTCTGCACTGTGAGGAGGGACCCACACTGGGGCGGGGATGTGCTCTCCCTGGGTTATTCAGCCCGGAAGGGCGGCATGCAGTTTTCGGTGCTCATTACTGAGGTCTGGCTTGAGACATCAACACTGGGGACACTCGTGATCGCCAAAGCTGAGGGCTGGGTGCTCCCGACATGGAGTGCTTGGGACAGCCCCACAGACGAGAACCGTCTGCTCTCAGATGCCAGCAGTGCCATGAGAGGGAAGCCCTGGCCCGCAGCGATGACGCAGCAGGTGTGGGCCTGGGGCGTGGCGGGGCTGCCAGGGGGGCAGGGAGGAGAGCCGGCGCTCACCATGGTCATGAAGCCGGGGTTGTTCAGCAGGCCGGCGATGTCGATGCTGCCCGCGCCTCCCGTCTGGGGGTGAGAACAGCCTGGTGAGTGGGGCCTGGATCAGGGGCCACGATGAGTAAGCCCCCTCAAGACAGCGGCCCCTCGGGGCTCAGACATTCTACCAACCCTGCGGCCAGAGGCTGCTGAGGCAGGCGGCACACAGCGCAGGCCGGCTGGGGGCCAGCCCCGTCTACCGTCCACGCCTCTACTTCCTGCATTCCGCCGCTCTGACACCTTGGGGCCTCGCTGGCGTGGCAGAGCTGGCCCCTCCTGGAGTGGCCACTTCCCAGAGAGAGCAGACGACTCCCCCAGGAACGCCCCTTAGAAATACACACCCACCGACCTAGGACCCACACCCCTAGCACCTCCCTGATCACCTCAGAGCCACAATCCACCTGCCCCAGCCACCCCCAGCCAGGGACCAGGCGACCAGGGCAGCCCCCAGGCCTAGGTCCAGTGAAACAGCTCAAACTGTCCAACCCTAAGCCTCGCCACACGACCCACAGTGAGGGTCTGTATGTGGCCTCTCCCCACCTCCCGCCTAGCCCTGCAGCCAGCCTCCTGCCTCCAGGGGTCTGGGAGCAGGAACCCACTCCTCACAACAGTCACTTCCACGGGCGCGTCTCACCACTGACTGAGACCCCGGACCCTCACGACAGGCAGGTTAAGCCGAGAGCTGGTGGTGCGCCCAAGGACCTGTCCCCACCCGCCAGTCAACCCTGCATTCTGGGGCCACTCGCCCCCGCTGCACTCACAGGGCTGGGGGCCTCCCGCAGCTTCAGCTCTGCGATCTTGAGGTTGGACTTGTACGTCTCGTTGTCGGGGTCCAGCTCTAGGGCCTTCTTGTAGTAGGCCACGGCCTCCACGTGCTTGTTCAGGCTGGAAAGCGCCAGGCTGGGGAGAGTGCCGGGGACAGCCTGGTCCCATCTGCCCTGCTCTGGGAGGCCCCACCCAGTCCCCCCTCCCCAGCGGCCCGGCAGCCCCTGTGCACTGTCAACTCGGTGGAGGCAAACCTGGCTTTCGAGGGGTCCAGAGTGGGACTGAGGGAGACAGACATGAGAAGACCCGAGGCACAAGAACTGGTGTCCCCACGGGGCCACGCAGGACTTCAAGGCCTGAGGGGGCTGAGGAGGGAGCGGGCAGGCATGGGGTCACAGGAAAAGCGTGGATGTGGTCTGTGCCGTGCTTCCTGGCACAGGGCACCGAGGACCCTTGGAACCTCTGAGGGACAGACATG